GACACCAAACTGGGAGGAATGGTTGATTCATGCTGCCACCCAGAGGGACCTCAGCAGGCTGGAGAAATGGGCTGACAGGAACCTCATGAAGTCCCACAAGTGGAAGTGCAGTCCTGCACCTGGGGGACTAGCAGCCCCAGGCACCAGCACATGCTGAGGACTGTCCAGCTGGAAAGCGCTACAGCAAAAAGACCTGGAAATCCTGGTGAACATCAAACACAGGTCCCACAAGAGAATCTCTGAGAGCTCCGTGTCACCCCCTGTGGGAGGAAGCAGGAGAGCCCAGATGGCACTGATAACATATGCTCCAGGCCCTTTTCTTGCAAATTTACAGGGCGTCCTTTCTGTCCAGCATCCCAGCTTTTGTGTACGGAGGGCTGCTGCCTAGAGGGCAGCACGGAGATGTTGTCAGTCCTTTCCCAGTGCTTACCAATTTGCCCCAAAACTGGGCAGAATCTGCTCTTCCCAAGGCATGAAAATTAGTTTACAGGCTGGTAAACAGTAAACAGTACCCCAGCAGCCTGCTCAAGTTTTCCCCAATGCAACACAGCTCTTCTTCACTGCAATTTAAACCTTATTTGCCACAAGGCTTCATCTTTCCATGAAACCTGTGGCATTTCTTCTTGCTCCAAAGAGACCAATTGCTTAGTCTGCCTTCAAAGGTCTTTCAGCAAATGCCCCTGTCCTAGACACATTGCAGGCAGGTTCGTTAAGGCAAGACAGAGGGCAGCAAGTTCAGGAATAGCTAATTTTCCCAGTTGCTCCCTGCTAGTTCAGGCAGACAGTGACCGAGAGGAGGCAGCCAGCTTCCCTGTGAAAGATGGTGGTATTGCAGAAAACGGCAGCTGTAGGCTAAGCATGGCAATTAGAAGGTGCTGGGGGACTCAGGGCGTTGACTTTAGTGTTCAAGGGCTCTAGAGACTAGTCCTCAGGACAGTGCTGTCGGGCCGAATATCTGAGATCAGAAGACACCGTCCTGGAAATGGTTATAGTCAAGGCTAAGGGACCTATGCATTAGATAAAAGGGTGTATTAGATGCAGAAGAGCAAAGATTGCTTAAGGGGATCCCAGCTGTATCTGTTGCCTCTTCCCTCCAGCTGCTGGCGCAAGTCTTTCACACACAGATGAAGACTGTGTAAGGCCATATGTAAAGCCATGGCCAACACTCGAGATATTGACATCATCAAGTCCAGAGTGCCTTAATACCCATATCAAGCCTCCATCCTCCAAAATCTTGTGTGCTTGTGGGGCTTTTTTTTAATCAATGCCAGCTAAAACTCAAGTCCCGATATAAAGCTTCTCTCGCTTTGCTGTGCCGGTCAACACAAAAGGTGGCCCAAGGAGTATAAAGTAAACAGCACGAATCCTGCGACAGTCAAGTAGTCCTCTATGAACCAGCTATTGAAAGTTCATTACATACGGTTCTATTACGTACAGATCAGTAAAACCACATATACACTGTTTCTTTACACAGCTTTACTTCTTACCGGAACTAAAGCTAAAAATTGGTAACCCTTAAAAACCAAAAATTCTAAAACAAAAAGTGCGCTTCAAGAGTGTCCCATTAGATTTCATTTCACCTTATCCAGCTGCAAGATGGTGGCTGCCTTACTCTATAAAGCCATCCTCAGTGGACCATCCTCTTCACAGTTGTGTATTTCCTCCATACCTGGCAGCTCAGGAAGCCAAATTTTCATTCATGCAAAATCCTGTTTCACTCTGGCAATACTCCAAGGGATCTTCAATACCAAATACCACTTAAGTATGCTGTGTTCTTCTAGTGCCTCAGTTTAGTGTTAAGACCAACCATGTCAGCCATGCTTCCTTCTTCACCTGCAAGACAATGGGACAAAGAGACCTTTAAAGTCCAAGCCCCTTGCCATGGGCAGGGATCTCCTTCACTAGTTCAGGTTGCTCAAAGCCCCATCCAGCCTGACTAACACTTCCAGGGATGGGGCATCCACAGTGTCTGCGGACAACCTGTTCCAGTTTCTGACCGCCTGCATAGTAAAGAATTTCTTCCTTGTATCTAATCTAAATCTACTCTTAGTATAAATACAGACTTGGGGGTCTGTATTTGAACTAAGAGTAGATTTAGTGTATTGCTGTTGGGGATTATCCCCTACTCAGGTGCAGAACCTTGCACTTGGCTATGTGAACCTTCATGAGGTTCACTTCAGCCCTTTTCAAACCTGTCACGGTCCCGTTGGATGGCATCCCGTCACTCAAGCAAGCAGCTGCACCACTCAGCTTAGTGAGGGTGCACTCAGTCACACTCAATATCCTTAATTAGGATATTGGACAGTACCTGTCCCAATACAGACCCCTGAGGGACACCATTTGTTACTGATTTCTATTTATACGGTGAGCTGTTGACTGCAGCTCTCTGAATATGGCCATCCAGCCAATTTGTGATTCTTCTCACAGTCCACCTATCAAACCTACAGCTCTCCAATTTAGCAACAAGGATGTTATGGGAAATTTTCAAAGGCCTTGCAGGAATCAAAGTTGATGCCATCTCAAGTGATCTCTACACACCAACTGAAATTCCGAACATAGTAACAAAGGGTTAATTTCACTCTTCCCGCAGCTACATGCCACTCGATTTCCTTTGGTCACAACATCATCCTATGTATTCAGCTTGGTATCGACCAACATTACACCCACTAACATTCAAGCTAATTACTCTGATGATAAAAGAAGTTATTCAGAGGTTTTAGGGCCAGAAGAGGAGCGCTATCAGCACGCAGTACGATCTGCAAAGCATCAGGCATGACATTCCACCTAGTAAATTCTGGATCAAATATTTGACTTGTCTTTTAAGCTGCAGGGAAGATTTATTTCAGGAAAACAGGCACAAACACAACAGTGTTCGTTTGCCTCCCTTTAGAACAAAACTTTCCATTGTCCCTTCCTTTTCTCAAGTGGAAAGCTCTTACCCACACACCTTAATTACAGCAGTGACTTGGACTTGATGAGAGTCATTCAGCTCATAACTTACGTGCTCTGCTGCAGTCTCAATCAATAGGACATTTATGAACAAAACTAGCCCCAGTGGACAACTCATCCTTAGGCAATCTAATGCTATTAAGCAAGATCATCAGCTGGTGTAAATCGGCTGCTGGTGCCTGTTTACCAAAACAGAGGATGCAAATCATTAAACGCAAGTGCTAGGTAGTCTTATGAGCCAGCATGCAGTTTCCCCAAGTTCCTGCATTTTGTTCTGCAACACACAATCGTGTGATAGAATTACATGAAGAAACAAGCCTCAACAGTGAGGTAGCTTCCCCTGAACACCTTGAACTGCTGTGCAAACTCAGACAATTGTGCCAATGGGTAAAGAAGGACAGAACTGAGTTCCTGGAAGTCGTTGCACTGTGAGAAGCCAGTCCTCGGAAGGAAGAAAGGCATCTGTACTATTACACGGATGTCACTCCTTTAACATCTCATCCATCTGCACAAAACAAACAATTCCAACTGACAGTATAAAGCAGAAACTGTTTTTCTCAAGTTGACAGACTTTGACTTATGAAGAGAGGAGAGAATTCTAAAGCAGCAAAGGATGCAAACTGTTTGTTTTTAACTCTGGGAACCAGCACCTCCAAGACTGTTTCAAGGGAAACAGCATAACAAAAATCAGACTCTTCTTTTCATTTGGACAGCAAAGACCCAACAATATTTTCATGACTCTCTCCTACCTGTATCACTGCAGTTTTGTCTACCTCCCAATTCTGACTTTAAAAGAAGAGTGGGGTGGAACATCCACAGACCCTTCTTCTATCAGAAGATTCTTTATGGACAGATTAAAAGCATCGGCATCTCCCTCAGACACTCACTGCCCTGCGTGGCCAAGCTTTGTCAGTTCTGTGCAGGAATTACAAGATTGCTCTACAGCCTCAGGTGGGCTCAGATGTATTCTCTGAGAGAGCTGCACTGCGCTCCTGTTGTAAACGAGCACGTTTTTCAAGTGTTTGAGATGCTGCAGTTTCTTATAATTTCCACAGTGGGGTGGCAATTCACTGTCACCCCCAGGGTGAGCTCTAGTATCTGATTCTAGAAATATAACCTTTCTCAAGCTCATACACAAGTGATGATTCCAATTTTCATATTGTAAAAGCAGAAAGTTACTGAAACCTGCTACAGAATCACAGGAAATAGGAACTCCCTCCAGCTGGAAGACAGGACTAACCACAGTCAGCCCTTAACTAGTCAGTCTTGGCTCACATTTGTCTGATGTGTTCTCGGAGACCCCCATAGTCAAAAGGCTTCACACATTTCCACAGGTAAAATACTCCAGCACTCGCAGCTGATCTCAATAGGTGTTCCTCCCACTTATTTCTATTTCCTACCACTCTTGGAAAGGGAGTACCTTTCGTAACCATCTTTTAAGGCTTTTGAAAATGGCTCTTTATGGTCCTTTCTCTTCAGGCAACTCCATTTCTTTAATCTTTCCCTGCACTTACGCCACAGCTTTCAACACCTTGCTACCCTCTTCTCAGCTCCACGGGCATTCCTTGCACAGTTTCTGTTGTCTTTTAACAGTTACACATATGTAACATGCTTTGTTTGCCATATGAAAGTCAAAGTACCTCGCACGTTGTTGCTTAAGACCTTAAATGCATGCCATTAAGAGAATTTATAAGTTGTCCTCCTCTCAAGAGCACTTTCAAATTGAAAGTACTCAGGAAGTTACCACGGCAATGTAGAGCTAAAATTAAGCATCCATTTCAGACAAGGAGAATCAGGAGAACCTAACAGGAAACAAATGCATAAATCTGGGTGTTTCCACAGCGAATGGTCAGGCTTCAGCCCCACAGCATGCCTTCAAAGAGCACCAATTCTACGATGTCTACACCACTCCTTGGGACGCAGTCCTATAAGCAGGACACCTGCGGTCAGGGCTCTGCACAAAGTGTGGCAGGAAACATGCAGGAGTGAAATGTGTGCAACTGCAGCATCATTTTTCCAACATAGGGGCACCTGCTTTATTCCAAGTATCGTTGTTGTGTCCAAGTACCTTTATTAAAAGATAAAAGCTCAAGGCAGACAGTCAATAAGCAGTGTAAGAAACAGTTTAAAATTTTTCTTTGCGCATTCTGTCATGGTAACTGCAATGAATGTGTTAAATGCTGCCCAAGATGACAAAACAAAGGATGAAACAACATCATGAGCTGCAAATTAGACTCTCCTTCTTTTAATCAGTGTTAAATATACATTTGTATCTTCTGAAGAGAAAATATTTTAACCTGAAGAATAACTTACAGGTATCATCAAATATTTATGACATTCTTCCCTTCAGGGACATGCATTTTTTTCCATTAGTCTTTCCATCTAGAAATACAAAGTCAAAAATTTGACAGGATTGACAGTTTTCTGATAGGTGTTTGAGTGAATGAAAAGATACTATCGCATTTGAAAAATTTACAGGCTTATTGTATGTTATTTAACAAAGAAGTTCACAACAACAGAGTTCTGAACACAAAAAAACACAAGGATGTTGGCTTTTTTCATTTTAAGGAAATAATAAAATAAATTCTACCTGAGAAATTATCCCTTATGTTTTAACGTTTACTTTACCGAGTAAATGCCATTAGCAGGATTTTTCATCTCTCTCTCCTTAATTAAGCAAAGCTAACAAAGTTACCATACCAATTGAAGAGCCAGCATGACGAGCTTTTGCCAGAAGCTGAATAATTTACTCCAGAGAGCACTGGAAGGGAGAGGATTGGCAGGAAAAAGCATGCAGCGCGCTCCAGGACAAACACAGCAGGGAAGCCCCGGGGCGCACACGGAATGGTACAGTCGTAGGACCGCCGCACGGCAGTAGCTATTTCATCTCTCCACAAGTGTCTGCATTTGAACACGCAGCCGAAAACTGCAGGATCAACACAACGCAAACCACAGACTCAACCTACCTCTACCCAGCGTAAGATGGAAAAGCCGTCACCCTCAGGCAGCCTTTCTGCTTCAGGAAGGAAAAGATGGATACGGGTTTGCTGCCAGTGAACATCAGCTCCATTCAGTACCTTGACACAGGAACTCCTGGGTCCGTACCATATATTACAGCCCTAACTCACTATAGCAGCTCTAGTGTCCTCGTTGTCCCTGCACAGCAGGGCTGGAACAAACCTGGACACACCTGCTCACATGAAAGCTATTACCCGTCTCCAAAATACTGAAGAAGCAAGCAAGCTCACTTCATTGACCAAAAGCACAAGCAGGAGAGAGCTGTCGGGTTTCCACTCTCTTGCCATCCAAAGCCTACTGTTACACTAACACTTCACCTGCAATTATGCTACCCCAAATTTGATGGAACATTTGGTATTTGTACACACTTCTGCTGACACTTAGAGGAGAGAGCTGTGATAGAGTCTCTGAGATCTCTGTTCTGTGAGCACACGTTAAACAGAAAACCATCAATACCTCCATTTCTATCTACTTATAAGAAAGCAGGGATAGCTATAATTTTCTAAAATCTGGTTAAAACTCTTACATGGAGAACACGTTAATTGGGCTGTCAAAAAACAGATTACTCATTTTTTAGGGAAAGACATTCCTGCGGCATACACCTTCATGTTCTTAAAAAAGGAAAAAAAAAAAAAAGCAAATAACATTCCCTGTCATAATTGCATGCAGTGGTTAGCTCAGGAAAAACTGAACTGTTATTGGAAGGAGTGTGATGTGGATAGTTTCTCCTTCCATTCCGTTAGTACTACACTGTTACCCAATGCCTCCTACAGATAAAGCAGGTGTGCCACACCAGTTCTGTGTAACACAAACATTCCACTCCCAACAGCAACCTGTCGCACATTGTAGGGATGTATCAGTCTCCAATAAAGCACATTCAAGGTATTCACAACTCTGGTGTTTAAAAGTTGAATACTCACAGATTTCCTCTGAAAAAAAAGAGGAACTTCTCTGGGATTTTCCCATCCTATCCCTCCCGTAAGCTCAAGAAGCGAACAGTCCCAAGGTTTTGATGATGCCAGGAAAGTCTAAGCCATGTGGCACTGCTTACACTTAAATAGTCAACTACCCACAAGTTTACTGCAACATTTCATCTCTATTCCCTTTCTGCAGCTTTTCTTTCAGCTTTTTTTCTCCTCAGTTGCCCTTAATCATTTCCTCTAACTACCTGGAAAATGCCTGAAGGTGAAAAAAATACCTGTTAAGCAAAAAAGAAGGTAAATGTCTCCTTGGGAAACAGATGAGAAGTTACAAAAGGAACAGATCCTGATGCCTTTGGGAAGCAGGAAATTACAAACTGACAGTTTCAAAGACAGCAGGCGTGCTCTCGTAGCAGTCAGGCGGTCAATAGATTTGAATGACATCGTCCCATTCATCGACAGGCCAGACACCATTGTACTGCACGTTGGATGGTGAGCTCTTCCAGTCCCACGTCTTCACAGGAACCTTCCAGTCCGGGCCATAGTTGGCTTCAACATATTGAAGGGTTTCACAGGGCACGCGTACCTTGAGTTCTACAAATTCAGTCCAACACAGAGTGAATTTGGGAAAGAGATACCTGCGTCATAACAAAAGAATATGGTCACTGGTAGAAGACTGAAATACACCTCCAAATAAGTTCATGGAGAAAGCAAGCAACTACAGAGAGTGCCCACGTTACATTTATAATAATTTTTTTCTTATTTCACGACTTTTTTCTGGATGACTAAGAAACAGCAATTCAGAATTAGAGGCTTCCTTATGTTACTATGTCTAAGCAAATTATTTCTTACTCAACTAAAAAGCCATGTTTGTAAACTTTGAAAAAAAATCACTAAGTACTAGGCTACAGGAAAAGTGTTTTATGAAAGTTGGAGTTGCAAAAGAGGTGTAATATCCTAGGATGCAGGAGGTGGACCACAGCACATCTACTTTCCATTAGGACCAGTCATATCAAAGTCATATCCTTTAATCTAATTGTAAGTGTACCTTTTGACTTTGGTCATCAAAGTAACTTCCCCAACCTTTGTTTATCATTTCAAAACAAAGCTAACTAAGACAAGGACTTAGACATCATCACCAGCTGGATGGCAGTGTTTGCTAAGTTCCCATTAGCTAATACATGTAAATACAGTTTAGGCAAAATATGAAAAATAATTAAATCCTATAGAAGCCACAAGGTTTTCAACTAGTCCGCAAATGTCTCTTTCTGAGCTAGGGTGGGTGATGGAAAGAAACAAATCTAATTATCAAAACCTATATTCAGTTTGCTGAGTAGGTTAGGAAGCTGTTGTGCTTATTTGTCAATTTAATACTGAAAGGTATGACGCAAGAAATGTGGGATCCTATTTAAAATTCCACTTTCAGAACATGAACAACAACAAAGTCTGCAGTAGTCATCTATACTGCTGTGACGAAGCTGGTGAGGGGTCTGGAGCACAAGTCTTACAAGGAGAGGCTGAGGGAACTGGGGTTGTTCAGTCTGGGGAAGAGGAGACTGAGGGGAGACCTTATCGCTCTGTACAAGCACCTGAAAGGAGGCTGTAGAGAGACGGGGGTCGGTCTCTTCTCCCAAGTTACAGATGATAGGACAAGGGGTAACGGCTTCAAGTTGCGCCAGGGGAAGTTCAGGTTGGCTATTCGGAAACATTTCTTTACTGAAAGGGTTATCCAGCATTGGAATGGGCTGCCCAGGGAGGTGGTGGAGTCACCATCCCTGGAGGTATTTAAGAAACATGTAGACATGGTTCTTCAGGGCATGCTCTAGTGCCCAAGATTACTGGTTTGTGGTGGGGTGCTGTGTGGGTGGGTGATGGTTTTTGGTTTGGTGGTTGTTGTTGTGTGTTTAGGTGGTGGGTGCTGGTTTGTGGGGTTTTTTGTTTTTTTGGTTTTTTTTTTGTGGTTGGACTCGATGATCTCTGAGGTCCCTTCCAACCACTACAATTCTGTGATTCTGTGACTACATTACAGTCAATAAAGTATTCCAAATCATAGCCATAAAATCCGAAACTATGGGGTTTACTTCACAAGGATATCGAGGCTTTCTGCCAAATGCTCCGTCATCAAGACAGATGCCTAAGTATTCACTTTTTGCTGCAAAATTAGTTTCTGCAACAAACAGTTTTAGAGACTTCTTTCTCATCTTAGCTGTTTAACTCAGAACTTGTTGCGGTCCAGGTGAGATCTGTCTGATATCTGACATGCCAGCATTGCTATCGATTTCATGAGGGAACTGATATCTGACAAGCCCACCACCACTCTAGTAAGGCATAGGGCTGTCCTCTTTCTGCTCACCTGGTCTCAAAGTGCAAAATCTCCACTGATTCTCCTCTGATAACTGCCTTTCCCACAAAAAACATAGACTTTGCCAGGCAATAACACACAAAATGCCAACACTATACACCAACTTGTTCAGTTTCTTTCTTATTACAGGTACAAATTCAGATCATACTTAAATTTCTTGCCCGATTTTGCCTGAGTTCCTCCATTCCATATGTAGTCATCCTCTTCATAGAAGAAAAAAATATCAAGTTTCACATCACCTTCTCCCTGGAAAGAGAGTTCCAAGCTGTCTTCTACCTGCAAGACAAAAAGACAGACTGTATACACTCATAAAAATACAAAGCTACTTATGTCAGCAGGTTTGGTCAGGTATTCAGAGTGACTCTTAACTGAAGAAAATACACAAACTCCACAATCTCTTGTTTTCTTTTTTTTTATGCCTTGAGAACATGGGAAATTTTTTGCACCTCAGTGCAGTTTCTTTCTTCCCTTTAGTCCCAAAAGCTTCAGCGCTATCCCCTTGTCTTCTGCCACAAGCAAAATAATCTCAGTAAATAACAACAAGATTAGTAGGTGTCTTCATTTACCACATTTCCTCTAAAACAGAACACTCACTAGCATCATAAATCACTTGATCTGTGGCCAATAATTCATATTCCTGAAACGTAGTTTTTCTCTACCATTCTGCAGCCTACAGTCTGAAAAAGCTAAATAAAGATCCACATAAACTAATCACAAACAAGCCCAGTGGCCACCTCAAGCCATCCTTCCCTTTCTGCTAGTTTTACATACAGGGCTACAGACGACCTCAGAGCTATCACCAGCCCACCCAAATCTCAAAGATGAGATTCTGCCCTGATTCTTAAGTTTCCCTGGCACCACTAACACAGACTAGACCCCTTAAAACTTATTAAAAACTTCTTCCGAGGTGGAATTCAGGCTCCCTAAACAGGGCTGAAGCTATTAAGAAAGGTATTTTCTCACACATTGTTCGAGGGAATTCACAAAAAGCAACAAGATCATATGTTTAGGTAAATAAATAAGTAAATGTCTGCTGAGGAGACTTCAGATACCTACATGTACATAAGTGATCTGCAGCTGTACTCAAATGTACAAACTTAAGACACATGAAGAAAATTGTTCATTATCTATGTACCTTGCCAAATTTGTGCTTCAGTGGTAACCCTGCTTTCTGAAAGGCTGGAATGATATCTGCTTTGTAGTCCCTTATAAACACTCCCAAATCCACATCTTTGCTGTGAGGAATGACGTTGCACTGTCTATACCAGCCTGAGGAAGAAAAATAAAGAAAAAAAAAAAAGGAAAAAACCAAACCATTTAATTCAGGAACATGAGAAACAGATCAATAGAACAGCATAAAAATGAACTGTCATAAGGTCACCAAGCAGAGATCTTTGAATGAGGCCATAAACAAGACTTCTCCCTTTCTCTAGTATGAAAGGAACCACATCGAAGAAAACAAATATTACTGCAATTATCGCCAGCTTTTTTCTCCAGAAAGCCAAGAATAAGAGAGAAAACACTAACTCTTTCAAAGATAAAGTATCTTCGGTATTCTAATCTAAATGTCTTTAAAGAAAAAATATTCTTTATCTAGACTCAAATCTAATCTGCAATGTACAGTCACAACACTAGAGCTCTGCTTTTAATTTGAGACTACTATTTTAAATAGTATCTGAGATGTTAATCATCTTTCAATCACCACTGCAAAACAGTAAGACAAGAAGTGGGACATTCTTTTGTCTGTTTCATTAAAGCAGCTTTTAGTAACTGTGCATTCAGAAAATTATAATACCTAGTCAAATGTGCACACACCTGAGCTTTCACAACCAATTCCAATAACAAAAGAATCTTCACCAGTGATAAGGTACTACTTCCATCTTCAGTAGAATTGAAAACTTGCAGTACCTACTCTAATAGGCTGATATTTTATTAAAAGTATGTGTTTTTAAATAAATAAATAAATGTAAACTATATTTTAAAAGTCAGTGGTAAGCACCGAATTGCATGGGAAGAAAAATCAGGTGAGAGTCTACATGGACAGCAGAAATATGTGCCCATCACTGTGTTGTCCAAACAGCATTTCAGGGAATTCCAACTCACACAGTTGAAAGACTTGCTGATTACTTTCTAAGTAGTGATCAACACAACACAGACAATTCGTAACAACATTAGATGCTTCACTGGAAATTTGCTCAGCATCTCCAAGGGTCAGGTTTCTAAAGAAAAGGCATTTTGCCAGGAGCAAAAAGGCCTATTTCAATACAGCTAATGCCACATATTACCTTCCAACCCGGTACATTTAAGCTTAGCTGACATCACAAGCAATAGAGGATGAAATGTTAAAAATGTCATATGCGTTTAAAAATGCAACATAACACTAATGTTTTACCAAGGCATGTTCCACTGCTCAGCCAGAACTTTACTCCTAAGTTATTCAATGTCAGGGCAGCCAGATGGAGCAAGGATTTTGCTTTTTTTCTGAACTCCACTGCATCGAGGGAGGCATCATCAGGATAGAGCTTGAAGGCAAAGGAAGAATAAGCAAGCTATTGTCAGATAGGAAACTTGTCTCTTCATTTTTCTTAAGAAAAAAAATGACCTTTCCTTAACTAATACCTGGGCAGTATCTGTTTTCACGTATGCAGTCCACTTTGAGAATATGCACTAGAATGACAAGTTGAAATTTAAACTGTGAAACATCGATCTTCAGTTTTTCCAACTGAATATAAATTCACAGTAAAACAGCATGAGAATGCACGTGTTAGGTACTGATTCTCAAGGCTTGGGCAACACCACAGATGAACCCTAGACCTGCACACACTGAAGCCAGTACCCAGAGCCCAGGGGGAAAACAGGGACGGTTTCTTCCAGCACATGAGTTTATTTGGCGCCACCAAGCGTTACAGCCGGATGCTGACACCTTCTGCCGCCGAGCAGAAACAAAGGGAGCAGAAAATCATGCCCGGCTACCACTGAGCCAGAGCTTCTCTTAATGCAAAGCCAAAACCAACACGGCAGCCTGGGCAAACACTACCAAATCAAACACAGGAACAACACACCACTCAGCTTCCTGACTGATTTCATTAAGAGCCCTTGGGCAACACACAGCTGAAATGAACACTTACTTTTGAAAACAGATGCCCGCTGCTTATTTAAATATTAAAGCTCCAGAAAAATTCAATGTACATTGAATACATAGAGGCACATTTTGTCTGCCTGGGGCAATTACTGCCTGGAGGTTTTAGAGCTGCAGTGCAGCGTGCTTACAACTTCTGTCCTTTACAGGTGAAGTGACCCCACACGGGCACCCTTGGGTACAGTAACCCTCCCGCTGTATGTACGGGGAGCTATGGCCTACTAGACTGAAGAAGGATGGTCTTCCCTTCACTGAGAAGTCCCTTCCTCAAGACATCCAATGTTTGAAGGTGTCTGAATCGTCTCTTTTCTCCCTGTCTATGAAATCAGAGAAGGCTCAAATTCAGTGGCTTCATTCTGACTCCACAGTCAGTTAACTGAGGTTAACTCTCGTCCACTTCATGTCTCAGTCCTTCTGAAGTTAGGACAAAACTCTCCTCATACTGCAGCAGAAAGCTTTCTACTATCTGCTAAATAGGTAGTAATATTCTAAAAAATAACGTGGAGAAAATATTAGCTTACATTTTCAAAAAGCAATTAAATAAATCATTTCAGAATGAATATACTATTTCAAATAAACTGAACTAGGAACATGGAACTGCAGTGCACAGTTAAAAGAATATAAAATGAAGTACTACTGAGAACTTTGAGAATTGTCATAAGGAAAATCTTCAAACACAAAACCACACAAGATTTTAGTCTTACTTACGTGAGATCTATTTAACCATAACAATGTGTGATAGCTATGGACGTGTTGGTCACCTCTTCTTTTCAAAGTTTTGGAAATAGGAAAAAATGCACTCAAAAGCGAAAAACACAGACCATGATTTTCAGTTAAAGTTTTGGTTTTATTACCACTTACTAAACTCTCTTGATTGAGTCTCAGAGTCTTTAATTAGCTTTATGTGCACAAACAGTCCCATCTAGGTAAAAACCAGTGAACTGCTTATAGGCTTCGGTCAATCAGTGAAAACATACATCACATCTCAGAGACACTATCACTAACCTGAAAGAAAGCCCGAGCTTCTCTGTACCTACATTCAAGAAATCTAGAGTGTGACGTCTCCTCTAGAAAACTGGACGGATTTTTTGGAATTTGAACTTTTAAGTCATCAATGGAAACAAGCAGAAGTTCTGGCCTGCAGGGAAAGAAAGGTGATACATTAACCCATTCAATTCATTTACAAATCACAAGTCCCTATTTTCATTAGCTCAGGTTAAAATGTCAATGCACGCTACCAGCAGTGGTTTCTCTATCCAAATATATCCAAAACCAATTACAAAAGAGGAGCAACAAGAGTTTCAACAAATTCCCCATACACTTCAAAATTTTGTTTAAAAATAAATTCTATGCTTAGAGAATTAGTTTAGTTAGTTTGTCAGAACACTGATTCCTTTACTAACTCATGATGTGCACTGAATTTGTTCGGAGTTGCTGTTCAGTGCATTTGAAAATTCAGGCTATTTATTTAGCTGTCTAAGTATGGGACACGCTTAAGAGCCAAATTTTACGCTGTACTTTGAGGCTGTTTGCTCTTGAAGTTTAAAAACTGTTAAGTTTTCACGATAAATGAAATGTGGCATTTTTCAGCTTACACACATGACTTCAAATGTTTAGGCATGTAACTGGTACAGATTCCACGCTTCAAAAAGAAGAACGAATGGTGTCAATTGTAAAGAAGAAGTTAAGCAGATTTATTTGGACCTGTGAAAGGTTTGGCTGTTTTTCTCTGATTCATGGCATATACACATACCCTGCAGGAACATTCTTTGCGAAGTCCAGTGGCACATGCTTGTCTTTAAAAATAGTGACAAGATGTGTATTTCCTGAAATACTGCTATTGAAAGCATTGTAAGAAAAGGCAAACATCTGCAGTAACTTTACCAGTGTAATGCAAAGTTTAAGGGTAAGACTACAGACAAGCAACACCACCAATTCCAATGTTTATGCAAGCAAGGACTTCCCTTGGCACATTAAGACTGTGAGTTAGATGCAATGGCTGGCACGTGATTTTACAGTACAAATGTCACCTCTTTATTCATGTTCTTTAACACTGATTGTTTGGAGCGGACTTCTTCTTTGACTTCACCCATCTTTCTGCCTACTTAAATTTGGCCACACAGCAACTTCCTCTAAAATATAGTTCTTAATTTATAAATGGTGGTAAGATCTTGTTTTCAGGTAAGCAGAATTGGATTTACCTTCATCATTTAATTTACCCGCACTTTAAGGGCTGAACCACACATGAGTTAAATTTTACAATCTGACTTTAGGAAAGGGAGCAATTTTATACACCGCAGAAAGAGTTATTTTGGAAGTGCCATCATGGCTTTTTCCCCTCCTCTGTGTTGAACTCACTTTTCATACGCGCCAGGGTAGCGACCGAAGTGGAGTTTCCGGAAAGGCACAAACTTTCTGTCCATATGTTGCTTGAGCCTCAGGGGGCCGTGCCAGAGATAATTACCGCTCCTCTCATAGAAGACCACCAGGTGAATAGCATGAGATGCCAGTTTAAATATGTAGTGCAAGGGAATTTCAATCCCAGACAAGTCATCCATCCCATCCAAGCGAGGGTCCTTGTTTATAATCTTTAGCCACTGGAACCCCATCTTCTCAGCAGTTCTAAAAAGGCCCACCTAAAAAACGAGACGAAGAGAGAGAGAGAAGCTAAAGAGTAAAGAAACCAAAATTGAATGCTAAGTGTTTATTATTAACTGTCATCATTCCCCATTTTCATTTCCTAATCAGTCTTAAGCACAAACTACTCAAAAACTTTTAAGACTTTAAAGATCAGCAATCACAAGCAATTCCAGCAACTACATCTCCTTGTCTTAAATTTTGTCCCTCAAACTACTCAATAAAACAACAAATAAATGTTTAAGCTATGCTTGGACCAGGTTTGCTCTTTGACATAGCACCCTTCTCTGCATCCTCAAACTGTTTTCTAAAGTTGTTCTTGCGCTGAACTTGGCATTCGTTATGTCCTTGAATAATGATACCAATAACACAAGAACAATTACTGCAATTTATTTTTTTTTTAATGATGTACACAAATATTTGTCTCAATCTCACCAAACACTGAATGTTGCACTATGTAACAGGCTTTCATATTTCCAAAGAAAAAAAGCAATGAAATTCTGGCTGGTAAGAAAACAATCAGCACCTGAAGACCCTTTCAATTATCCCCCTTGAACTGTTTTATATACAGGCATATCAGCTTCTCCTTTTGATGCTACAGATACCATCAGTGAGCCACAAAGAATGGGGAGATAGATTTATATCAGTGTGCTGCCACACAACCTTGTTCTCGGTTTCTTTAATTCCTTTACAGCTACAGGTAAAACAACTGCCTGATCAGATCCAGTGTGCTACCACCCTTAACTTGAGTGGGACTCCTTCAGCAAAATAGTCACAGGCCATTTTAATGTCTCCTGCTTTGTGTCTGGTATAGATGGTGTTAAGTACAAGGACGTACTTAAAGAAATGTAAACCACTAGACTATGATAATCTTTCCAGCCTTGTCACATCAATACCTGCATTTTCACCTTGGTAGATCCCCAAACTCAAGATTTATGACAGCTGTACCTACATTACAGGCTTAAGGTTTTCATTCTTCCTTTCTAACAGACCACTTTCTTTTTCTTTTTGACATGGCCTCTTAGTGTGTTTATGAATGTTGCAGACAGCTTCTAAAAACTTTTAATTATCTGTAAATGACTCTTAACGTATGCAGAATAGTGCCTGGATACCTTTTATTTCTTTTTAAAAAAGCCTCCTCTAACAATACCTTTACAAGGTTTCCACACAATGAATTCAGAGGCTTTAATACATACATGAAAGCCTTATGTCACAAAACCATAGAACAGTTGAATGTATTACAATACACAAATGTGAACTGAAGAAAAGGCACTTACTTCAGGTTTCCATGTTTTGTCCAGTAGTGCAAATGTAGTAAAGTCTCTTGGAGCACAAAAGTACTTGCATTCTGGACTGGGGCCATCAGGAGAGCTTCTGATCTGTTCAATGTCTTTATCAACCAGCCCCAGAATCAAAGGATCGATCAAATACACTGGTATATTGTGACTGGATATTAAGCCTAGGAACTTCCTCACCACATGCTGTTTGACAAAGGTTAAAATTAGGAGTTAGAAACACCACCTTTAACACAAAGCTTAATATATTAAAACTCTTTGGCAGAAGGAAATCTGCACTTTACTTCCATGAACAATTGTGGAAATGAAATTTTTCTCTTTCAGAAGAACAAGCTGTTCTCAGGCTTCCCAGGTCTCCTGAGTAAAAACCTCTCAGCTTCAATTAGAACTTTCTACGAGTTAAAGCAGTCTCACTCTAGAATGCTAGACTTGAGAACAGACTCCAGGCTGAACTCTAGATTCTTTCCAGCTCTAGATTGCATTGGAAAAGCACCTGAATAAAGCAGAGATTACAGGGTGAGATGTGATGAACGTGTGGCTGCTGAGGGAGCTGACTGATGTCACTTTAAGGCTGCTCTGTAACATCTTGAAAGGTGATGGTGGTCAGGAATTGTTCCTCAAGGCTCAGAAAGGGCAAATGTCATGCCGTCTTCAAGTAGGAGGATCAGGGAACTCATCACCTCAATCACCAGAAAGCTTCTGAAGCAAAAACCTGTGGAAAGTCACATCCAAGCACAGGAAGGACAAAGATGTATTTGGGAAAGCCAGCCAAAGGCAAACTGCACCTAATCACACCGACTGCCTTAGAAGAAGTTTGTGGGTAAGCTGAGAGCAATGGACACAGTTCAAGCCTTGACTTCAGTGAGGCTTTTGATCCACTCCCAAACAGTATCCCCAAACCTCAGGCATGATGCCTGCAGTATATGAAGGGTGATTCAGTGAGAAGGTAGGAAATGAATCCTACCCAGACTTTGGATACTTGTGTACCCAGGGCACTCAACCATGGCAACACTGCATAAGGAGTTAAAAGCCATAGCAAGAAGGTCCTGTGCCTGATGAGAGGATTTATTAGCTTGATTCAGTGGAGAATTTTAATCAAGTACTTTTAAATGTCCGTGGCATGCAGATTTACACCAATCACAGCCACCACTCTGCTATTAAAAATGTAGCTGACGTATTTAACTGTAACAGTTGAACTTGATAACTTAAAGTATGGTTCTAATCAGAAAAAAAATACTTGCTTACAACAGCACTGGCAGGCTTTATATCTGCTACATCTCAAGGTTTCTAGAAGAGGTATAATAAGGGAAAACAATGGCCTACTGCGCAAGCTACCTGCCCAGTTTGCTGACCCTGGCTTTCCAAGTGAAGTTCTAATCTTCCTCCTGTCCAGCTGCTGAGTCTGTTCAGTCAGACTCCACAGGCTGACCTCCAATTCTGGCACTGGGCTTTGGCTTCAGAGAGAGGTAAAAAAGTATAGACAGAACGTGGACTAACAAACAGAATTTAGGCAGCAGTTCAGTACAGGCAGAAGCAAGGCTACCCTCTTAGTGACCTCAACTCTATGGAGCTGAAAGGTAAGTGATGTGCTACCATTTTTTCTGTAACTAAAACTAGCGGATCAGACTGATGAACAGCAAGCAAACCTGTGCATCAATACCTACTTCTTTCCCCTGTTACTTCTCCATGGAAACAGATGCTTTTAGTTGAAACTTAAATAACTGCTAGAAAGAGACAGCGATGATGTCAAGCAGCTAAGAGAAACACATTCAAATAGAGTATTTAGCACTCGTCATGCAGGGGCTCCGAAGAAAGCTTGGAGTGCAACAGGTCCCTCGCAGGACCATGGAGCACTCTGCTTTGTTACTAATGATCTTGTAAGAGCAAGTTAAAGCGTAATAAAAACTCTGTACACTGACTGGCAGGTTGGAAGCCCACTGTGATCATGCCACCTAACAACCAGCAGATAGTTCCAAGGGGTGTCACCTCCAAGAATAGCAAGACATTCCTGGTGCAAGTAAGCAGTCTGTGGAGCAGCTGGTTTGGATTATTCCCAAGAATAGTTCTTAACCAGGGCACCTTCCCTCTTTGCTCAGCAGAAATAAGGCATTTAAATGGCTACTTTGCTAACTAGAAACATTATCATGTTGCATTCAAAGTGAACGGCAGCCAGCTCTCAGCGCATCACTCTCTTTCACCATCTGTGCTGTTTTTCCACTGGGAGATCTGCTAACAAAAGACTTCTGTAAAAGTGTTTCCAAACAAATGCTAACCAGAAATATCATAACTGAGCTTCTGATTCCCTGAGGCTAATGTGATGTTTTGGTTGCACTCAATCCTGAAAACCTTAAGTAAGACACAACAGAAAATATCCTATTTCAAGTATCTAATGGCACTCCTAACACTGCTCCTGAACACTGGCACACTTCAACTAGTAGAGCACTGAAATGTAACATTTTCCTGCTTGTGAAGAGCTTTATGACCCAGCATAAGCAAGTAACACAAAACATTGAGCAGCAGGTTAAACAAATGGAGCAAGTAAAGGGGTATTCTGTGACCTGAGAGCTACAGCCAATTCTTTTACCGTGTCACTGACTATCAAACAACCTGCATGTCAAACAAGCCAATCTTTTCTGTACTCAGTCTGGAAAAAAACACAGAAGCCTGGATCAAAACTTCTAAATCAGAAAGAACAAATTTTGCTTCTTAAAACATGAACAACACTACTATGGACTGCACAGGCAAAGACTGCTAAGCTGTAATCGTTTCTCAATTTCATTTTAAACTGATGTTTTGAAACACTTCATAACTTTACTCAGTGAAGCAGTCCTTCATAATGCAAAATCCCCAGCGAAGATGAAAGACAACTGGGCCCTGAGTTTGCAATTCCATGTGAGTTCTCTGAGACTTGCAGAACTGTATGAACCAATGACATCGTACATACCCATCTAGTGCTGTCTTGGCCCGACTGGCTTCCTCTGACTTTGGAAAAAACTGCTCCATTCTATCAAAACCAAAGAAGGGGAGGGAGAAAGAAAAGAAAACCAGTAAGTTTCAGTTGAATCCCTGCTTAGGATTTCTTAACAGGACATTCAGGGGTGTTTATCCAGTTAGTACTTTATAATTATTGCTGTGGTTACGTCTCTGGTCACTCAACTACAGTACTGAATGTGAAACCATAACCAACTGCTCTGGCTTAGTGTATTTAGAAGGAGAGTGCAAGCCCCGGGGACTTCCAGACATGCAAGAAACGCATGATCAGGCCTCAGGTTTCTAAGTCAATACGCCAATAAATGTAAAATAGGAAGATGACAAACGCTGTTAGGCAAATACCACTGAGGGAGCGACAGCAGGACTATGCCTCAGTGTTTCCAGATGTAATCCTAGAGAATTAAATTTGAACAAGGGCATACTTATATGATAGAGCCAGGGCAGTTAGTAGCTCAGCTTTTAGTCTTTCAAAAGTATGAAGAACTTCTCATTCAGAGTCTTGTTGTTTACAATCAGAAACTGTAAGAAAGAGGTCAAAGGTCGTGGTACCACCCAGCACTAAGGCTGCCTGCATTTATTAATCTTAATTTATTAAGTCTCCACTAAAAGAAAATAAACTCAGGAAACATGAAACCTATGTAGTTCTTCCGTAAAAATAAGATTAGTTCCTTCGTTTAATCTGCATTGCAACTGTAAACTATGAAACGACAAAAAGCCACCAGATTATTTCATTTATAGCAACAGCTACATCTTTTTCAGTTACAGAAAATCCCACTCAGCTAAACATTCCATGGACAGTATGAAAGCAGGATTGGATTTGTAACATCTAGAAAGTTATGAGCATCGAATGACAAAGCACTAAGGCAACAGCAGAAAAAGGTGGGTTTTCTTTTAAAAACATCACTGTTAAAATACCCACAACCAATAAAGGCTGCCTTCCTTGTTTCTTCAGAAAAGCCCTAAGACAGCGCTGAGTTTGACTTCACTTTCATCAATAAAAGTCACTTAACAGCAGGAGTAGGAAGTTCTTGTGAAGATGAAAAGCCCGGGTGGTGCAAACCTGCAGCTGAGGAGAGGGAGGAAGCACCCCGTTTTAGAACGGGTGGGATGCCTCTGGCTGACACGACAGCTTGTCCATCAGGCTAGCAACTGACTCGCCCGGGGCTACCTGGTCGCTTCACCTCAAATCGCTAGCCAGATGCAGGAGGTCTGGGGGCGACGTTCGTGCTGCTGAAGGACTCTGAGGAGAGCTGGCCTTACACTGGTTGTGGCACAAGAGCAGGCCCCATCGGGAGATCCCCCCCCTTACCTTCTGCGACAGGTAGAACTTGTAGTAGTACAACTGGAAGAGGAGGAAGACCAGGCTGGTCAGAGACAGGAGCGCCAGGACCACGTTCTTGTTGATTTTCTGCATTAGTCTTCGGGGCCCTCTCGCTCATCTTCTCCGCGGCCCCAGCTCCCCCCCGGGCTGCGCGCCGGCCGAGGGACGCGGCGCAGGCCGCACCGCCAGCCCGCCGGCTGCAGACAG